ATGGCGTCCTTCCCCCTCCTCAAGTACTGGAGAGGAGGCGGCGGCGCCGCCGCTGTATCCACCATACGCGCCGCCGCCGCCATTTCTTCTCCTCCGGAGACAATCGATGAAGCATCCGACGACGATGGCCCCTTCTTCGATCTAGAGTTCACCGTCCCGATCAGCCAGAGTGGAGCGCAAGAGGGAGAGAAACACCACGACGACGAAAAGGATTTCAGCTTATCGATGACTTCTTCCGATGAGAGTGAGTGCCAATCGAATCGCAACCTTCCCATTTCACCCTCCGACGATCTCTTCTTCAAAGGAAGAGTTTTTAGCGCTCCGGAGAGCGATCTCAGGCCGCAGTTCACCGTTTCCTTTCTCAAATCGGCCACGAGATTGCGTGTTCTCATGCTTCGGTTTCGGAAACCCAAAACTCATTCTCCGGAGCACGTTTTGAGTTCGCCGAAGCAGAGCTCTCATTCGAGCAAGTTTTTCATTAAGGTGGACGAAGCGCCGATCGCCTCACTGTTCTCTCGAGAAAGCAGTTGCAGGAACCCCATCGCCGGCTCGCAATCCTCGCCGGAGGAGAGAACGGTTAATTCGAAGGAAGTGGTTCAGAAGTATCTCAGCAAGATCAAGCCGCTGTATGTTAGAGTTTCGAAGAGATACTCTGATAAGCTGAGGTTTTCAGCTGCGGAGCGGTGGGAAGGAGAAGAAAAGGAAGCAGAGGAGAGCTTGAAAACGGGGAAGAGGAGACGGAAACAAACTGTTTCTTCTTGGATTATGGTTGCTCACAAGCTTTTGAGAAAAAAACAAGTTGTCAATGTTGTCTAACATCACTTCGCCAATTGTCATTACACTGCAACAACAAGATGATTCCTTTTTAGAGCAGCAGGATGGGATCCAAAGTGTCATTGCTCACTACAAGAGATCCCTCACAAAATTATTCCCAAGATAGGGTTTGTTTGATTCACTGAAAATTTTCTATGTATCCTCTCGCATAATCAGTTAGAAATCTTGTTATGGATGAATTCCTTGATTGAATGCTTATTAATTTCATCACTTTTGACAAAAACTTTGATGTGATATGATGCCTATTATTTCTCACTAATAATAGAGGATAAACCAAAGCTCAAGGCAAAGCATCATAGGCTCACAGCAGAAGCCAGAGTGAGCTTGACAAAGGTTCATAGATCCCTACATGCTGTCCAGTAGAGTCTCTCCCCCCATCCATCCGCGCACCATCGCACGACATAAATCACCTGTGCAATGGAGACCACCCACTGCGAAATATCATATGCGGCAGCTATGTCGATGATACCCCAGACGAATCCATATAGAAAGAGGGAGAGAAGAGTGATATGGATGAGCAGGGCAGCAAAGTTGGGTGTCAGCGCGGGTGAGACGAAAAGAATGCATGGACACATAATAGAGACATTCGTGTGTAAATAAAATATTTTGGGACCTTAGTATGTAAATAGGAGGTTTTGAGGACCTTAGTATGTACAAACCCCTAATAATAATTATTATTAGTATAATTATAATTATAATTATAATAATAATAACTAATGTATTTCTTCGGTGCAGCATATCTACTTGGTGCAACTTAACAGATTTTACATAACGTGAGATTTTGCTTCTCTCAAGATAAGTAGTTGTTATTTATTAGAAGATAAACATACTTTCGTTGTTGGAAGCTTGCTACTCGTTCTAGATTTATAGCTAATAATAGCTTTATCAGTCGTACACTTTAAATTATGTAAATATACTTATAGTAGATCTTTTTTTTTCATAATGAATTTTATGAGTAATTAGTCTTTACATTATTACTACACAAACCCTTCTTTAACTACTAATATTTTGTGTTTTCAATATTTATTATTCTTTTATAATTTTGATGTGTTAAATTTTAATATTTCAAAGTCATAATTGTGTATAAATATTGGTGGACATGTTGTAGCTATATTCATGTACTTTTATTGTGGTACATGAAATATGTCTAATATTATAATATTATTATGTCCATATTAAGCCCTTATTATGGCTAATCGGACCAACATGTCCTTAGAGAAACTATTGGATTTCTATGAGTTTGGTGAATACATTTCTTTATATTAGGGTGTCGTAGAAAACTGAGGGTGTGTGTGTGTGTGTGTATTGCACTTATATATTATCATGTAGTGTTAAAAGTTTAATAAATTATATATGTATAAACAAACAAGAGATTGTAGCAAATAAATATTTATATGAAAGTGCATGGGTTCAAGTACTCATATTTATGACCATAAGCATTTGATACTCTTTTTACAAAATCTATTATGCATATAGTAAATTGCCCTTTTCATTATTCATATTATATGTCCTAGTTCCTTGTCATTTAATGTTTTAATTATTTAGTGAGTTTGACTTGTTAACTCACTCAATATTTTTCTAAAGCAGGTTTCACTTATGGGCTACTAAACAATAGGGATTGTTCCTGATAGCAGAGTTAACTGAAACCACGACACAAGACACGACTTTTACTAATAACTTAAAGACGATTACAACAAGGACTCAAAACGAAAAAAGACACTACATAAAGCAAGCAATGAAACAAGACTCAACAATAAAAGACACACGA